GAGAGCTTAGGAATAAACTCATGGATGAAGCTCATCTTTCTAAGCTATCTATCCATCCGGGAAGTAGTAAGATGTATCAAGAACTGAGACCTCGTTATTGGTGGACCAAGATGAAGAAAGAAGTTACACCATATGTTGCCAGATGTGACACGTGTTGTTGAGTGAAAGCTATTTATATGAAACCTGCCGGTTTGTTGCAACCTTTGTCCGTACCTAGTTGGAAGTGGGATGATATAAGTATGGATTTTATCTCGGGTTTGCCCACCACTCAAAAGGGACATGATTCGATTTGGGTGATTGTGGATCCTTTTACCAAGACCGCTCATTTCTTACCTGTCAAGACAACTTATCGACCACCTCAATATGCCAAGAAGTATATTACAGAAATTGTGAGGTTGCATGGCATACCAAAGACTATAGTATCTGATAGAGGGCCACAGTTCACGGCTCACTTTTGGGAACATTTGCACAAAGCCTTGGGAACTAGTTTGATTCGTAGTACCGCTTATCATCCTCAGACAGATGGTCAGACTGAATGAGTTAATGCTGTTCTAGAGGATATGTTAAGAGCCTGTGTGTTGTCTTCTAGGGGTTCATGGGAGCCATGGTTACCATTAGCGGAGTTTGCTTACAATAATAGTTATCAAGAAAGCATCAAGATGGCTCCATTCGAAGCTTTGTATGGCAGAAAATGTAGAACACCACTAAATTGGGTCGAACCAGGAGAAAGGAGGTATTATGGCATTGACTTTGTAGAAGAGGCCGAGAAGAAAGTTCATATTATCCAACAAAATATGAAGGCGGCCCAATCACATCGTAAAAAAAGTTATGCGAATGTAAGAAGGAGACCCCTGTGTTTTGAAGTTGGTGACTATGTTTATCTCAAGGTCACGCCAATGAAGAAGAAACGGTTTGGAGTCGTAAGAAAGCTTGCCGCTAGATTTGTAGGACCATACAAGATCTTGGAAAGAAGAGGTCCAATGGCGTATAAGATAGAGTTACCGAGACAATGAGTACCGCCTTTCCAGCTTTTCCATGTATCGCAACTCAAGAACTGTTTGCGTGTTCCGGAGGAAAGAATAGAACCTCGAGGCATCAAACTCAAATCAGATTTGGTGTATCATGAGCAACCGGTCCGTGTGTTAGACACTAAAGAACGTGCTACTTGGAATAGTGTGGTGAAAACATACAAGATACAGTGGAATCATCATGATGAGGGAGATGCAACTTGGGAAACGGGAGAATATCTACAAAAAGCTTATGAAGATTTTTATAACAAATGGTTCGTAACCCAAATCTTAGGACGAGATTTTTATAAGGGGGGAGGGTTGTAACACCTCGGTGTTAAGCGTGCATTACCATTTCATCCCATAAGCATAATCATCATCAGCTCATGCATAAGCATCATTCATGCATTTCATTTCGAAAGAAATGAAGTATCATTTCATGTGGTGCTTAAGTTGATTGAAATTCATTATGTTTAAAACAATGTGAAATGCCATGCTCATGTTTGGATGCCATGATTTCTTGTTTTGATCACTAAGACAGCTAGAAATAATTAGGATACAATTTGGAGCAAAGTTCATATTTAAATTTTTACCAAATTTTGCCATTAAAAATAATTCTTCAAAATTAGGGTTTTGAATTAATATTGATTTTTATTTTGTAATTCAAAATCTATTTGGAATTTGACTTTGGTCATAAAAGAAAAGTTGTAGATCTTAAAAAATGGAACAACTTTCATTTTTACACCAACTTTTGAAACTATTTTGAAATAGTTCAAAAATTCGGGCCGAGCTCCGCTCCCGCGGGCACCCCCTCTCCGCTCCACCTTTCTCCTTCCTTTCGCGCGTGTGAGCACCGCCTTGCCCTCGCGAACCTCGTGCGCTCCTCCCCGTGTCTTGCCGTGGCCGGAGATGGCCGGCCGTCGGTGAGCCGCGCCACCGCTCCGCCATGCGCACCGTCGAGCCCCATTCCGAGCTCCTCCCGTGCCTTCTCTTGGTGCACCGTGTTCGCCTCGTCGCGGGTGAGCTGCTGGTGGTGACCGCACCGCCGGCTGGCTCACCGTCGGAAAGAGCCGGCCGGTCAGCGCCGCCCCTGCTTCGATCTGACCGACAGGTGGGGGCCGTTGACCGTGGGGGCCCGCTCGTCAGCACCCTGGCTCGGGTCTGGGTGCACAGCACCGGGTGCACACAGCATTTTCGTCGGCTGATTTTTGAAAGGGTTTAAGAAATGATTTTTCAGATTTCTGTTTAAATGCTTTGGAAATTTATAACTTGCTCAAAATGGCTCCAAATTTGTTAAAACAAATTTTGTTGTGTTTCTTGTCACCAGATCTACATGATAAAAATATTGCATGTCATTTTTGAGATACTTTAATGTAGAGCTTTATTTAATTCTTGATATTGCTAATATCTTGTGAAATGTATAATAAATAGAATATAGGTCAGAAAAATATGGTTCTAATTTTGTTGATCTATTTAGGTGATGTACTTTTTGTGAAAAATATATGTCATGCATGTTCTGTAGAAAAATTATGAGGTGTAGTTCAAGTGCCTTTAATGGCTGAATTTTGTTATTTTTGCTAGAGAGCAAAATTTGTATAAAACATGCATGTGATAATTTTTGTACAGTGATTGTATGCTATTAAGATCATAGGAAAAATACTAAATCTATTGTTTGACACTTTTCATAATACAAAGTATTTTCATGTTCATAATTATGCCATAGCTTGTCATTTTTATGTAGGCTACTCCACTCATTCAAATGTCATAAAAATTTAATGGTAGACTACTTAGGGTAGTACTGTGCTATGGTAATTTTCTAAGATTTTTCTAAGCTATAAAAATAGATGTTGCTATTCAAACCTATTATTAATTAGGGTTTAATCAAATGTTGCTTTATGTATGATTAAGAAATTAGTGAAGCTTTCGTGTATCTTTGAAGCATTTAATGAGATGTGTTGACTTAGCATATTAGTAGTAGAAGAGAATGCAGTAGATGACATGTGCTTATAGTACATGTTCTTGGATGATGTTGACTACCTTGCATTCAAGCATATCCATTGTGTTCATTTCATCCGATGCACCTTTTGCATACGCACTTACGCACCTGCATCATACAGGATCGCAAACCGAAAGCCCAGTCGTCATACCCGAGGAGCCCGAGGAGCAGCTCGAGGTGCAGCCGCAGGAAGTGACCGAAACAGACAAGGAGGACGTTGAGGAACTTCCGGAGTGCCCCGATCACCGCCCGAGCTCCTTCGAGAGAGGCAAGCCCCGGAGCATCTTTCTCTCCGGTTTGAAATTATTAATTAAATGCTCGTCTAAGGCTTCTACTGACTAAGGCTTCTACTGACTAGGAGTATATAATCAAATCCCTCATTGACTAGGAGTATATAATCAAATCCCTCATTGACAAGTTCAAGAATCCGGTAGCCATAGCTCCACGTCACCCATCTGACATGTGTATGCACGGCACATCATGTGACGCTTCCTCTAGTTCGCAGCCGCCTCCAGCCCAGGCATGTTGTTGACTCCGCAGCCAGGGCATGCGTACCGACGCTGCAGCTCCTCTGCAAGGGAAGCGTGCACCTTCTCCAGTTCAGCTGCCCGCGTGTTCCAGGTTAAAGAAAGCTTCGCCGAAAGCATGGGGAAATGTGAATAGAAATGCGTAGAAACAGATAGCTCTGTACATAAATTTCAGGATATTCGCCAAGCTCCTGCAGCTGCCTTGTCTCTCCCATAACAGCCTCCATAAGAGCTCTCTTTGCTTGGACATCGGCCAGCTCCTCACGTACCTGCAAACAAAACACCAAAATCATTGGTTTCGTTAAACTGGCAAGGACAGAATGTCCTGGACCACCGAACCTTTCCCAAATTACGAGGGAGAGACTGATGGTTAATATGGATTATTAAAAATAGATGACACCGCAGTTGAAACCACACACATCCTCTGCCTGCACGTCAGCCATGATCCTTGACACTGTGTCGCCTACTAATGTTTGTAATGCTGAACGGCCTTTGGCGAACACATGTGCTGATGTACAGCTCGACAGTTAATAAATTTGCCTTCAGATGCATTAACCAGACAGTAACAAGCATTATGCATCGTCATCATGTTTCTCACTTTCCTGATTGATGAACTACAACAACTTAGTATTAATATGCATTAGACAGTTTAATGGTTCGCATACTGTCTAAACTTAGTAAATACAGAGCATGTCAGCTGTCATTCAAATATCACGTAATTCACAGCCACAGATTTTCATCAGGATGGTCTTATGAACAGAAAAATGAGAAGATGTTGGAAGATCTCTGCTTAATCAGTTAACATTGTGCAGATAAATATAATACAATGCTTTGGGAACAGCGCACCTTATCATAATCAAGCAGATCTTTTTGTACTCTTCTTCCAAGAGCTGCACCTCAGCTTCAATGTTGCTCACCTTATCTGCCAAATCTTTCAAACTGCCTTCTGAGTCCACATTTTACTCTCGTCTCTGACATGTTGGCCTACAAAGGGGACATCTCAGATAGTGTAAGGGAATGAAGTGCACAAATTGAGCCATATGTTAATTGCAAACTGTCAAAGAGAAGGGAACGAGCAGTATCACGCAACATATCGTAACATCAATACATTTGACTACTGGAGAGGACAAAGTATGTTTAGACTAACTATGAAAGACATACTAAAGAAACAAGATGAGAAATCAACAGGCAAACAGCTTTACAAAATTTAACAACACAAATTAGATCCATAAGTACAGAGCCAACACCAAACTGGGTTATCTTGAAGTTCCTCTCTGCTATTAAATAATCACATGTTTTGCTTACAGTAATAAATGAGCAATTATCAGCTGTCACCTTGCAATGCACAAAAACTCTAAAACATAACGTACACAATCAGATTCAACAATTTGACATAATTTAATATTGCAAACTTAAGGAGAAAATTCAAGCAGAGTGCAGCGTGCAATTCTTAAGAGTTCCAATCATCAATCATTTAGATTCTGTAAAAGGAAAGAAGCAATAAACAAGAAATGACTAGAACAACACATATTCAATGGAACCCCTTGCACAATTCAGGAACAGAAAGTGGTATGTTGCATTCTGATTTTCACTACTTACCTTCTGTAGACGGCTCACAGTGATTGTGCTCTGCTAATTCTAGAGAGACCATCTGTTGAAATTGCCTGTAGAAGAGGAATATTATTTCTCTGGATAATGAACAAGATAGTACTACTTTTCTATAATTAACATGATAGTAACAAAATTTAAACTTACAAAATCAAGTTTTAGCCAGCAAGGAAATGCCAAATTCATGGAAATTGAAAACAGTAAAAGTAGGATGTAATAAGAATCTTAAAGTGCCCTCTTAGTGCAATGTCATGACTTATGCGAGCACCCCTGATACATGCTTCATATGAAAAGTGTCACCACTGTGCTCCCTTGTACCTCACATTCTCAAGTATTTTGAGAATACCCAAACAACACATCATATCCCTTTTATACAGAGGTAATTACTGCCAACACCGCTATAGGCAAAGCCAAGAAAAAGAGATGCAACATCAGTTATAGTTTGTTTTATGATTGCATCAAACAGCAAAAGAAATCATCACAGACAAAACACAACATTCTATACCTTATCTTTGCGTTCATCTCATACATCTTGCTAATGAACTCCTCTCTGCAACAGTGAGGAAAGTATAAGCATGATCAGCAGCAAGCAACGAAATTATAGTACAGAACAACACATACGGGACATTTTGCACAGCAACAAGGCATTAGATAGAGTACATATTACTCACCTCTCACTGTCTCCCTTGCTCTTTTGGAGCAAATTCGTGAAGCGCCAACAGCACATCCATTCCGATTCAAACCATACACCAGAATGAACATATGTTAATTAATAGTAAAGCAACAAAGAGCCCAAATTCGCTGCGAAATGCGGAACTCACTTTGAGCGCTGCGTCCAGATCAGTGCCGCCTTCGAGATCTCCTCCTGGAGATGCGAGATCGTCGCCTAAACACACCAAAGTAACTCGGATCACGAAAATTGGGCATAGCAAGCGCGACAATTCATAAATTTCAGGGCGAGACGAGGAGAAACCTCTAAGCGCAAGGATGGAGTCGGCGGCGATCGCGGCTTGCACCTGGCTCCTGGAGGAGGTCCTGCATGCAGCCTCCAGCTGCAGCCCAGCGTCGAGCCCGCCGCTCCATGTGCAAGCGCCAGCCCTGCAAGCTACAGATCGGGCGAAGCGCGCCGCCGAGGTCGGACACCCTCGCTCTGCACAGACGCCAAGAGAGAAAGCGCGGCGTCAACAAGTCCGATCAGCCGCGACGCGCTGAATAACCTAGTGGCGTCTTGGCGCTTCGGCGCGGGGGGTTGGGTGCTTACCGCCGTGGGACTTCTCGTAGGCGAAGTCGCGGATGATGGAGAGGAGCTGCTTCGGGGTGTCGCCGCCCGACGCCGACGCAGCTGCAGCCATCGGTTCCGGGGAAGCGGTCCGTGGAAGGCCCTTCTCGAAGCTTCTGGAGGTCGGTCAGGTCGGGAGGGGGGTTTGGGGGTTTTGGGAGTTTTTTTCCCGCCTTTCGATTTGGGGGAGGGATGGTCGCAGGAGGGGGAATGGGCTTTGAGTCTGTCTCCAACTGGAGACCTGTAACAAGACCCAAACTTAAAATAAATCTTCAACATAATATCTATAGCCTCCAACAGAATACCTATATAGAAGACCTATTTTAGATGTCAAGAGAGGTATAACCTAAATCTGAGTATCCTCTCTCCTGGAGACAAATTTACAAAAAGAGTTCTATTTTGGATCTTGTTGTTGGAGAAGACTAAAAATGGGTATTGAACCCTTTAACTGTAGCGCTACCCAAATGTAAAATGGGTCTTGTGTTTTGGGTATCGATCTTTGGAGACAGTCTTAGTGCGCTCTTGGACTGGAGGGCTAAATAAATGATTACTTCCGCCACTTGACGACATTAGAGGGGCCAAACATTTTCAGTAATCCTCTCAACCGGGCCGTCCGTCCTTCCGGACACTTCGTTGCTGGGACACCAGCCACGCTCCTTCATTTAAAAAAATTACTCATCCACTTATTTTTATCCACTCGTTTCTCTTCCTATCGCTCTTATCCGCTCGCCTGCCGCCTCCGAGCATACGGTCGCTGGCCCTCCGAGATGCAAATGCCAGCGCCGCCTCGAGGCTCCCGTCCGCCTCAAGGGCCTTTGCTCATTGCAGGGCCTGCCAGCGCTGACAGCGCTGCACGCTGCTCTCTCCATGTCGCATGCGGTCGCGGCCTCCCGCCCGCTCGTGCGGCCGATGCCTCCTTCCATGACGTGCGTACTGCCGCCGCCTACAACCTCTCGGTGAACACACACACCGACGAGCCTCCATTCTACTGAGCAACAAGGAAATGTTGCGTTGAAAGCGCATGTTGTAAGAGTATGTTTTAATTATTTCAGATGTTTCAAAGGTATGTTGCAAGTGTTTCATATGAATGATGTAAAAATAGATCATGATGTTGCATGTGTTTCAATAGTTGTACACGTATGTTGCAAGCGCCCGTTCCAAATGTTTCATCTGTTTTTTTAGACTTATGTTGCAAGTGTGCTTATTTGGATGTTGTATATGTTTCACACATACGATGCAAGATTATGTTCAAAATGTTTCAGCTGTTTTGGTCTTTATGTTGCAATAAGTGTTGTCCTATTGCAAGTTGCAAGTGTTTTATCTGGATGTTGCATATGTTTCACATACATGTTGCAAGTGTATGTTCCAAATGTTTCATCTGCTTTAGACTTATGTTGCATTCAAGTGTTTCATGTTGCAGGTGTTTCGTGTTTGAGAGGTCTGTATAGAGAGGGGGCACAGCCCAGGCGCCAGGGGAAGGGGCGCAGCGAGCCGAGGGCCAGCGGATGGGGTGCGTGGCGCGGCTAGGGTCCTACGGACGGGGCGTGCTCGTCCTCATCCTATCTCCCGGGTCCTGCCCGCGTGGAGAAAGAGGAAGGGTCAGGGGGGAAGGAGCGGTGGGCACGGGGCAGAGCGAGATGGACGGGGGCGGGAGATGAGGCTGATAGGGAAGGACTACAACGATGTGTACCGTTCGATGGAATCCTATCCCATTAGACGTCCGGGCGCCAGCAATTCCTAACACATTTTAGATGGGCCTTGAATTGTCGACACGTATGGACCCTAAGGATGAATGAGAGCATTTTGTGCGGGCTGTAAGAGTATAAGATAGCGAGGCCCCTTCGGCCCGATGGATTGTGACTTGCGACCCAATAACAGTTTGAGAGGTGGGACCGTGGGAGGTAGGCGAGAGAGGAGAATTTTGAGCTTCAGCCCAAACCGAGAGAAGAATTTTGAGCGAAAAACTCATTTTCGCCTATAAATAACCACCATGTATCTTCAACTCTTAAAATCGTTTAAGTTACCTCTCACTTCGGTTAAAATGGTTTTCTAGACGGTTTCATTATTTTCAAATTCAAACTAATATAAATTTGTTAAACACCTCATAAGATTTTTAAACCGTGAAAAGTTATCTCAAGCTTCTAAAATTATGAGAAAAACCCTAGAGATAGTTGGAACATAAGAAACTTAAACAAAATATTTATAGCTTACCAAAAATGTATGTATAAGGTTCCATGAATTGGATTTAGTTCAATAAAATAGGAATATATCCAAAAATTTGAAGAAAATCCAAAACGCAGCGTGCTTACAGTTCCAAATTGTAAGTCGTTCATCTTTTCTAGGTACATAACTTTTGCTATGCACCTACATATATATCATGTATAGTAAAAGCTATATATCTAAAATGCGAGGACTTACATTTTGGAACCAAGGAAGTAATAAATGCCTTAGTGGTTTTCATAATAAAACTATGATGTAAAACATCATGAATGCAAGATACATTTAGAGTTTGTGAAAATACATTTATAAGATTCCATAAATTAGATTTAGCTATATAAAAAATTAGAAAAAACATATAAAAAATAGAATACTCCCAAAGTTTTCTAATCAATGTCTTAATATATTTTAAAAAACATAAAATGCAACTAGCATGAATGCAACAGATTTAGGCCTATTCAGGGGCAGAGCTGTGTAGTCAGTAGGGGATGCGAACGCACCCACACGAAAATGAAAACACAGTGGGAGTAATAAAATTTTTGCCATATTTGCACCCTATGATAAAAATCTATACACACACAACACAATCGCACTCCTTTCGAATTTTCTCTAGCTTTGCCCCTGGACCTAGTTGAGGTTTCTAATTTATACAATATAAAGAAATTAAAAAAAATGTAGCTATTTTAGGAGCTATAAACAAACATCTCATTGAACATTTCTAATTATACAATATAAAGAAATTAAAACCATATAAGAGAATAAACTAAAAATATCATAGTGCATATAAAAAATCATGAAACAATTGACATGTACTAAAAATGTTTTTTCAAGAACAATAACTTTTCACCAATAGGACAAGTCATAATCTTTTTTATGCCAAGAGAACAATTCATAATCTAACATAAAATGGTGAACACTTCCTACGGAAACAATCAAACTATAGCTACAAGTAGAACATTTTGAAAATCTTAGGCCAACTGAATTGCACTAACAGAACAATAGTTATTACCAATGGGACAATCCAAAATATACCATGGGAAAAATTCCTACCTGAACAATCAGAGTATAGGTAAAATATCATTGAACATTTTGGAAAATTCATACTCCCTCCGTCCTAAAAAAAACACAGTCCAGGAGTTCAAAATTTGTCCCACAAAAAACGCAATCCAGAGTTCAAAACCAGGCTATACTAGGTACCAGGCCCTAGCATAGGACCCACATCAACAGGCACCGGCTGCTGCCAGCACGACACTTCTCATGCAAAAAAAAAAGAAAAAAGAAAAAAGAAAAATCAGTCCCAGGACGCATTCTCGCCCACTCGTTATGGCAGCAGGCCAGCAGGTGCCGCATCCTCCCCACCCGCACAAGCCCAGCACCGGTAAAAAAGAAAGAAAGAAAATCAGCCGCACATCTGTTAGGAACACCCTTGTAGTGTTAGGAACACCCTATTCAAAGTATCTGGATCATAGTTATCAAACTCATTTTGGACACATTCTGAATCTGCTTATCTAAGTTCCTAGAGATCCTTTCATAGGTTAAGATCTGAAGAGAAGCAAAGAATCCTAGGTCCGGCCTTGTTTGTGCTACTGCAGCAGCGAATTCTGCGTCATCTACAGGCACATGTAAAGGGGCATTGTCTTGCTGAATCCATATGGTTTGCCCTCTAAGTTCTCGTGGCCACCGTTAAACAATAGCTTTTAGAACTTTACCAATGAGGTATGACCTCATAGTAGTTCGATCTACCTTAATAGGCTTGGTGACTTGAGTCCCTCTCCCCCTATTACGACTTCTTTTGGCTTGTTCCTAGAGTCAATGAAAATAATTAAGGATCAAAAGTGTTAGCACAAACTAATGTAACAAACTAAAACAAGGTGATGTTGTACCTTTCTAACAAATGGCCACACTCCTATCTTCCCATCAAAGATGCAATTACCTTCATCATCGTATATAGGTCTTCCTACTGCTGACAAGAACATAACTTTGACAATACGATTCTTATTTTGCACGGTCCTATGTGGGTCGTCCTCTCCTTGAAGCATATAATATTTCTTGTACTTTGATGTGGTGTTGAACCACTTCTTGTCCGTGTGGATGATGTTTTCCATTGCACTGAACTTGGGTTCATGTGGTAGTGTCCGCTGATCTAACATCTTAAGACACCATTGGAGCCTGTCTCTTTTGTTTTGATCCATCAATAGAGGCTTCAGTGTGCTAGAGTGACGTCGTAGTAGCCCTTCCTTGAACCACCTATGTAGAGTGCTCTTTTTGACACCAATGGCAGTAGCTGTAACACCTCGGTGTTAAGCGTGCATTACCATTTAATCCCATAAGCATAATCATCATCACCTCATGCATAAGCATCATTCATGTATTTCATTTCGAAAGAAATGAAGTATCATTTCATGTGGCGCTTAAGTTGATTGAAATTCATTATGTTTAAAATAATGTGAAATGCCATGCTCATGTTTGGATGCCATGATTTCTTGTTTTGATCACTAAGACAGCTAGAAATAATTAGGATACAATTTGGAGCAAAGTTCATATTTAAATTTTTACCAAATTTTGCCATTAAAAATAATTCTTCAAAATTAGGGTTTTGAATTAATATTGATTTTTATTTTGTAATTCAAAATTTATTTGGAATTTGACTTTGGTCATAAAAGAAAAGTTGTAGATCTTAAAAAATGGAACAACTTTCATTTTTACACCAACTTTTGAAACTGCTTTGAAATAGTTCAAAAATTCGTTTGAATGAAAAAGGAATTGAAAATAATTTGAAAAAAATCACATTTTCACTTTATGGGCCATACGCCTACTTTCGCCCGATTATAGCTATGCCGGCTCGGCTCTGCCTCA